TGGCAGTTTTTTTCTTTCAGGGTTTTATATATCTCTCCCCATTGCCTTCTTGCCTGCCTGGTCTCTGTTGAAAGATCTGAGCTTAATTTGATTTGCTTGCCTTTGTATATTACACTTCTCTTTCCCTAGCTGCTTTCAGGATTCTGTCCTTATCTTTGATTTTGGAGAGCTTGATTATTTTGGAGAGCTTGATTTTGGAGAGCGTGATTGTGTTTTAGGGTCTATCTTTCCTGGGGTTCGATGAGCTTCTTGAATACTTATCTTTTCACCTTTTGGGATGTTAGGAAAATTTTCTTCCAGAAGCTCTCTGACTATCTCTTCTGTGGACTTGTGTGATTCTTCCTCTTCCGGAATACTGATAATTCCTAAGTTATTCCTCTTCCTATTGTTCAACATGAATCTTAGGCCTTCTTCAGTTTTTGTTTTTTTTTATCCTTTTTTGTGCTTGCGCTTCTATCTTAGTAGTGTTGAGAGATTTATCTTCTAGCTCACTAGTTCTGGCTTCTATCTCTTCAGTTCTACTCCTTTGCCCTTTCATTGTATTGTCCATTTCTAATATTCTATTCTTAATCATTTGGACCTCTTTCTGTAGGTTTTGAATTGTTTCCAATGCTGTATCTATCTTATTTGATTGTTCCTGTAGTGCTTTCCGGACTTCTTCCTTATTTTTCTCAACTCCATTGTATAGTGTTTGATACATTTTATTATCATTTTTCTGAATTCCTTCTCAGGCTTTTCCAAAGCCTGCCCATCTTCCAGTATGGAGTGTAGTTCTACTTCCAGCTCATTTGCCTCAGTCACTTTATTTCCTTTCTGGACACGTGCTGATATGGTCATCTGCTTCTGTTTTATGGGCATATTCTGGAGTTATCTGTGGCCTTAATACTTAGATGGGTGTGTATTTTAGTATTTTCTGAAATATTTTAAATGATTTTTCTTGTATTCTAAACCAGGCCTTTTATCCTCCCACCCCCACCCCCCTTTTATTGGATTCTTCATGAATATAGTTGACCTATATTCATGTACTAATTTGCCTCTTTCTATTGAACAAATGAGAAAACTGATGCCTAGAGAAATTGTGACTTGCCCAGTAATCCCGAGTCCAGCTGCCCAGTACCAGGCTCTTTCTTTTATAGCTCTAATTAGCTGACCCTTTTCCACTTGGGGAGAAGTTTAATTTTGAACACATTGTTTTGTTCTTTTTCCGTTTCTTTTTAATATAGGCCAATTAATAAAACAACAAGTGGCATTATATTCACAGATTTTGCATGGAGCCTTGTTTGCAGGGAACTAAAGCTGGGCAGGGAAGGAGAACAAAGTGGAGGTTGCAAGTAGGGAGCTGGAAGCTAGCAGTTCTCAGCCTGTATTTGCTAGTTTCTTCTCCATCTTTTTCTACCCAGGGCAAAGAGTAGCAAGTTGTGTTCAGATAGTGAAAGTGTCCAGGTGTTGGTTAATAGGTGCCTTTAAACTACTCTCTTTTTCCCATAGGTCCTTTCCCACAACCTATGTACAGTGCTGAAGGTTCCACATGACCCTGTTGCCCTGGAAGAACACTTCAGGGATGATGATGAGGGCCCTGTCTCCAATCAGGGCTACATGCCATATTTAAACAAGTTCATTTTGGAAAAGGTATGATTTTAACCTTTTCTTACTTGCAGTGTTGCTGGATTTGTCCAGCATTCCTCAGGAGGCCACTGAGCTCCTTGCTGGTGAGCTGATTAAGGCCTTCATATGTGAGGCATCAAGTGATCAATCAGAAAGGAAAGGATGAGAGACTGATGCTGCTGCTCTTATTCCTTCTTTTCCCCCACTCTCCTCAGAAAGTTGGTTTGATATTTTTCCAACTTGGACCATACTTTGAAATGAAGAACTGTGTTTTGTATCAATCTGTATATATCCTCTCTTTTGGAGTCCTGGTGTGGTGCTGTGGGTTAATATGCTGGACTGCAAAGTCATTTGAACCACAAGGTTGGTGGTTCAAGCTCACCAGCTGTTCCTCAGAAACCTTATACAGGGTCGCTATGAGTCAGAACCAACTCTACGGTGCTTAACAACAACAAAGGTTTTTGTTTGTTTTTATTTTTTAAATTCTAGTTTCACATGTGCGGGCAACTATGCTCAGAGGATGGGTGTGATGGGGTAATATGTGAATGCTAATTATTATAGAGATAGTATTTTAAAATTATTTTATTTTATTTTAGACTATTCAGGGCATTCCTCAGTTGCTTTCCTCTGAGGTATGTTTGAGTAAGGATGCTGCAAAAACCTGCCATGTGTTTGGAAGCCAAATAGATCATTGATTCTCCCTGCCTTGTTCACTTTCTCCCTTAGTTTGGATAATTAAAAGTCAACACATAAATGTGCTGAATGTAATGCACGAAAAGAAGAAAACAACCGAAACTTTGATGTGCTCTAGGAGTAATCACTGTTAACAGCTTGGTGACTGTCTTTACAGACCTTTTAAGTGTACATGCAAATACACACCATGTATCCTCACACATCCACTTCTGTGACCTTTATATAGTGTTTTCTTTCTGTACTGATAGGGTCATACTCTACTTGCAGTTGGCCTTCCATGGTCTCGGGTTCTACTGATTGAAAATATTCTAATCCAAAATATTAGGAAAGAAGAAAGAGTAATTAAGTGGTCAGAGTGACTCCTCAAAAGCTAAGCGGGAGTGTAAAAGTCTAATTACATAGAATTTGCTTTGTTTTAGGTATTGTAGATGATTAAAAGTATATGGGAGGATGTGCATAGGTAATTTGCATATGTTGTTGGTAAGTGCCCTTGAGTTGATTCCGACCCATAGTGACCCTGTATAGGGTTTCCAAGGAGCAGCTGGTGAGTTTGAACCACTGACCTTGCAGTTCAAACAACTTTGCAGTCTGATGATGCATTAGCCCACAGTGCCACACCAGGACTCCTCCTTAATAGCCTCGAGTTTATTTTTTAAAAATAGCAATGTACAGTAATTAATAATAATTTATGGTAATAATTTGGAAAAGGTAAAAATGTGATTTAAAAATTCATAGGGTACATTTTATATATATATATATATATATTAGATATTTTGCAGCAAGGATTATCAAATTCGCAGTGTGGTGGTGTTTAAATGGATAACCCTGAATCACCTAGAAAATTCACTTACTTGGCACTAGCCTTTTTTTTTAAAGCTTTTATTGTGAATTGAGTGATATTCAACATGGCAGAACATCAGTTTTGCACTCAACCAATTGCATCTTGTTCTAATTACAATCCCTTTTATTTGATGTACACCGAAAAATGCAGGAATATATAATCATTTATTTTAACATCCAAAGGACATATTTTGCAAACCATCCCCTTGCCTATCAGCACACAGCCATTCTCGTAATAAATTTAGAGTTCTCAGATGCTCTATATCTCCATGCCATTGCCTCTGTTTCTGGTGTCACTCCTTCTCCTGTTAGGATCCCACATTCCGCTCATGCTCTTCCCTCTTGATGGACCTAGGGTCCTCTGTTCCTGGAATGTAAGATTAACTACTCCCCCTTTTTGTTACAAAACTTCTACCTTTACAGTTGTGACAATTGCAGTTATTCATGATAACAATTACTATTAAATCAAAAGAATCCTATCCCCATCTCTTTTTACCTGACCCATGTAGACAAGATGGAAACTATTCATTGGGGATTCTACCTTTCCTTGCTCACTCTGAACCTGAACTCCCTCATGAAAACTTGTAAGCCATCCACTTCGCTGGCACTAGCCTTTTAGTAACAATGGCTCCAAGTTCTCATTTCTGAAAGTATGTGCAAAGACTACCAGTCTCAGCCTTTAAAAATATTGGACCTCGAGCCCTATCCTAGATCTACTGAGTCAGAATCTGCATTTAGAGGATCTTCAGATGAGTCCTGGTGTGGTGCTATAGGATAGGCACCAGACCGCAAGGTCAGTTTGAACCACAAAGTTTGTTGTTCAAACCCACCAGCCACTCCTAGAAACCCTATATAGGGTCACGTGAGTTGGAACTGACTCAATATCACTTAACAACAGCAACAGATGATTAGCTGATTCATGTACACAGCAATGGTTGAGATGCACTCGTCTAGATTATTTGTTTAAAGATCGTTGACTAAATGGCCAGTTTACTTAAAAGCCAGTCCTCGCATTAAAAAAAAGTTTACATATTTATTGGGAAAAATATCATGGTGGCAACACAAGCAGCAAGAATTTTTATCAGCCTCAACAACCCAAGTCTAATTCCTATGAAGTAGAGGTCAATTATACTTCCACCCTCCAAACTTTTTACCAATTCTGATATCAACAACTCCTCCCATGGCACGGTACTTCTCTGCTGAGTTCAATCATTTGTTATAATGGCTACACAGAACTTGCAGATCATACTCACAGTTATGTGGTTTATTAAGGAAGCAAAAGCTTACAATTTAGGATCAGGAATAACTCAGATACAGTTCTTCAGTCAGGCCAGCCTCTTCTCAGCCTTGCCTTTCTTTAGTCCTCAGCCTTTTGTCCTGGCCCCTGCTCTGCTCTTGCAAGTGTTACAAAGCTTGTTATCTCTGCCATTAAGTGCTGAGGGACACCCTTCTCCATCAGGAAGCCCAGAAGCACTCAGCATTCTTGCTCTGTTGTTTGGCAAGCCTAGCTCTGCCAACAGGTGTTTGAAGACATTCTGTCTGCCAGGAAGCCTGCCCAAAGGTTTTTGGTTATATTGCTCTGTGGGTTAGCACAAATAGCGTAAGTACCTCACTCCATGGACTAGAAAGCCCACTGTGCCATCTTGGACCAGACTCCTGGTTCTGCTGCCACTTCTTGCTGTCTTGTATTATCCCCAATTAAAAAAAGTATTTAGTAAAACTCTTGTGAACTTTTAAAACTAAAAAAAAAAAAAAAATTAGTTTTATTTATTTTGTTGTTGTTGAGAGTATATATGCAGATCAAAACTTAATACCAATTCAAGTTTCTATATGCACTATTGGAGTCCTACTACTGGACTGCAAGGTCAGTTTGAAATGCAAGGTTGGTGGTTCAACACTCACCAGCTGCTCTTTGGATACCCTATACAGGATTGCTATAAGTCAGAACCAACTCAAAGGCACACAACAACAACAAATATGTACCATTTAGTGGGTCGGAACCGACTCGACGGCACTTAACAACAACAACAACAGTGACATTGATTACATTCTTGGGAGTTGTACAACTATTCTCATTCTTCTTTTCTGAGGTTTCTTTGCCATTAACATAAATTCATTGCCCTATAGCTTCCAATCTAATCTTTCTAGTTGCTATTGTCAATTTGATCTCCTGTAGAGTGTTCTTAAAAGAGCACAATGCTCAAGGCAGACATACATACTTTACTAGTTACATTAAACTATTATTTGGTTTTAAGAAGACTTGAGGGAATATTTTTAGTTTCCAGTTTAAAGATGATCTCGGCGGTAGTTTCAGGTTTTTTTTTTTTCAATCTTCAGGACTTCAGGAAGTCTGGAGGCCATGAGAATTTGAAACTCTGTTTTGTATGTTCCCCCTCTGTTCAGGATTCTTCTATGGAATCTTTGATCAGAATGTTCAGGAGTGGTTGCCGTGCACCATCCAGGTCTACTGGTCTCATGGCAAAGGAGGCAGTTATTTATTAACAGTATTAAGGAGGCAATCAGCCACATTCCATATCCTTCTCCTGTTCTCGACTCCCCTTCTTTCTTTGTTGTTCCAGGTGAATAGAAACTAATTGTGCCTTGATGGCTGCTTGCAAGCTTATAAGACTGGGTATAACAGAGACACGAACTATGCTATTAGGCCAATTAACTGGGATGTCCTCTGAAACCATAACCCTGAGCTTCTAAACCAAGGAACTCTATCCCATGAGGCTTTTGGTTGGATGTAGTCAGCCTCAGCAACTCTTTTTTGTTGTTGTAAATATATCTATCACACAGCTCTTCTTAGTTCAACTTTTTACATATGCGCAACTTACTGACAGTCATTATAAAAATTGTCTGTGTAATCCTACCCTTAAGGAGCTCTGGTAGCATAGTGGTTACGAATCAGGCTGTGAACCTTAAGGTCAGCGGTTCGAAACTACCAGCTACTC